TAAATAGAAGTGTCCATTTTGCTTCCAATATCTCTAGAACTTCGTAGTTGCTCAAATGTTCGGGCCATATTATTCTCACAATCCCCCTGTAGAACCATATTTCTGTTACTTCAAGTCTCTTCTTCATCTGTGAGAAAATTGTTCAGCATTCATTGCCATAAAAAAGGATTGATATTACATAACTGTTCAGTAGTTTTTTCTTTGTTTCTAAAGATATTTATTGTTTCTTAATACTTTGCTTAGCTTTTGAAAAGTATCTTTCTTTATTCCAATACTCCATCAGATTTCGATGTGCCATTTTCCCTCCGATGTTAAATTGCAGTATTTTGCTATGCTCGAATTGTTGGGTATTCCATGATGAAATACTAAAAATACATATAAATTTATAGTCGGAATAAGTACACAAGAGAAAGAGGAGATGGACCTCGTATCTGCAGCTGCTTTTGTGCGAATGTTAAAAAGAATGCATTTTTGTACATGTTATTTTTTATGATTTGACGTGGTCTTTAGATGCCGTGAGTGAATTATAAATATCATTGAACGTCTAAAAAGTATAAAGCGATCGGGATTAGTTAAACGCTTCATTGATTTCTCCTTTAGTTGTGAATACTTTATCTCTGTTTTATTGAATCTCAAGACATTGTTTCAAGACTTTGTTTAATTGCATCTCACTATTAAAACTTTCTAACAATTGCCGTCATTTTTAACGACGCGGGTACACTATTTGTTTTGTTTTGTTTTTTACAATGGTGTTCATTCCGTAAAAGGCCTGGGGTTACAAAGTAAGAGGTAAAGCTTATGCGAATATATGTGGGTGATAATGGTTTATCGTATATGTGACCAGGTTAAGATTGTAGTGCTCAGGGAAGCATCCTCTTGCTAGTCGGTTCCATACAGCAGTGGTTTGCGTTGCTAGAGTGAAACTTACATCTCACCAATGGAATACAAAGCGAATGAGGGCGGTTCACTACAATGTGGGCTGGCATAGCGCTACTTAACTGTGAAGGTTAATAGTACTGGGGGAAATAAAGAGTGTAGTTCGCCTGGATCGTTTCCATTCAAATAGCGATAGCGCAGCTAAAGTCTTCTGATGTCTCGTCCGTAATAAAAGGGGTTATTGAGTGGAAAATAATTCGCCACTTGCAAAGATGCGGAGATGTTTTTGGACTCTGTCGATAGTGGAAAGGGTAGGCAGCCGTAGTCTATTTTCGACATGGTTTGACTCTTGTAAAGGTAGAAAATAGCACAAAAGAAGTTAATACAAGGAAACGACCATTTTCCAGCATCTCTAAGGATGTATCGTACGTACAAATTCCATATATATATATATATATATATATATATATATATATATATATATATATATATATATACAGACATGACAGAATTGAATAGACACCAAGATAAATTTTATTTCTGATTTTTTTTAATAACCAAGATAAATTAACTTAGATTATTTGATTAAAATTGCAGATAACAATACTGGAACATGCCACGGACCAAAGGAGCATCAGACCCCCTCCGAATTTCAGCGAGGACGTATCGGGGGCCAACATGAAGGTGGTCTTAGTCAAAGAAAAATATCTGAAAATCTTTCAATACCCCTTTTTACTGTTAATAGAGTGATCGTATAATTCACCAGAGAGGGCAAGAAGTGCACAAAACCTCATCCAGGCCGCCCTGGGCCCTCTGAAAGAACCATGCGTCTTGTCGAAAGAAATGTTGAACAGGATCCACATTGCAAGGCCTATGACATAGCAACACAAGCTGATGTCAGACCCAGAACAGCTGTCAGGTATCTTCACAAGCTGGGCTACTATGGCAGAGCTGCGAGAAAGAAACCACTTCTATGTCCAGCCAATATCAAACGCAGAAAGGATTGGGCTCATGAGATGGTGGAGAGACCTGTGACCTTTTGGACCTCTGTCATTTTCCCTGATGAGTCAAGATTCGCATTATTTCCCGAGTGGAAGAGTATGAGTATGGAGACTCTGTAGTCAACAGTTTGATTTAAAAAGATTGCAGCCAGCGGTGAAACATGGGGGCCTTTCAGTAATGCTATGGAGCGCAATTTGAAGTGATGGTCGCTCAGAGCTTGTGGAGTGTGAAGGAAACATTAATTCAACCAAATATTTTTTATATTAAAGAAAGGGCTCCTTCCAATATTCTCAAGTAGTAGAATGAGCAAAGTTGACTCCCTATTTATAGAAGATGGAGCTCCATGTCACACTGCTCAAGCAACGCAACATTGGTTGAGACAAAATTGGATCAATAAACTTCCATGACCAAGTCAGTCCCCGGATATTAATCCTATTGAACACCTTTGGGGCATATTAAATCGAAAATTCCGCAAAAAGAACAGGAAGCCATCTTCTAAGCCCGAACTTTTAGGATTATTGCGTCAAACATGGCAAGAAATCCCTCAAGATGATATTCGCGAACTCATCGCTATCATGCCTCGAAGAGACCTTGCATTTAAAAAAAGCAAAAGGGATGTCAA